AAACATGTTGGATGCCTGTTGCTTTCTTGTGGAATTGTCCAGATTTTGGACTCCTAAGATCTCGGGTTGGCACGTGGATTTCTTAATGTGGGTGTCCGCTATCTCTCTGGGGCTCTCCATTTTGTGGCGAGCTGCAGTACTGGGGGTCCCACCATGTCACTATCTGCAAGGAGTTTGCATGTTCTCCCTGTTCTTGCGTAGGCTTCCTCCAGGTACTCCAGTTTTCTCCCACACTCCATAGACATGCTGGAAGGTTAATTGGCTCCTGTCTATATTGGCCCTCATATGTATGCATGTGAGATAGGGACCCTAGATTGTAAGCTTCTGGAGGGCAGGGACTGATGTGAATGTGCTGCATAAATTGTGGGCACTATAAAAATACCTGTAATAAATAAATAACTAGAAAGTAGCAAAAGCAGCTTCTAGCATGTTGATGTGCCTTAGCAGGAGGTCAAATCTGGTCAGAAATATGGTCAACTGCAGGTCAAACCAACCTGTCAATGAGCTGCCTAAAGCATTCAAAACTTGTCTCAATTGCAAGTGAATGCACCTGAAAGCAAGCTGCATTTGCCCATCAACAAACTCAACAAAATCTTATATGGTAAAGGTGATGTCAGAGATCATGGGGTTTTCTTCACCTGCAACAAAGGGAATTAACATGTGATTACGGTAAGAAGACCCTTACATACAAAACTCAGTTTGGGGAAGTTATTGGCCTGTATCTAAAGAAAAGAAGAAAGCAAGACTGCAATTTGGTTTGCTAAAATCTTTGCAATGCATATAACTGTCCTAGCAAGGAATCTCAGCAAATACATTTCATCCACCGTTATAAACATTGTACATTGTGTTTAAATACACGTGTTGTATATCTACCCAGTGACAGTCTGTAGATCTTAATGCGTAGTGATCAGCATATGCACAATTCACAGGCAATATGTAACAGAATCAAAGAGCAGGACGAATCAGGGCAAATTACAACCAAACAAGCACAGAACCCCAAATAATGACATCACTTGACATCGGGCGCCAGACTTTCACGTCTAGGTGCCAAGTCTTATTTCTGCTCAACCTCCTTTCATCCTCTCTTTGTTTTGCTGTCACGGATTACAGATATGTTTTGGATTTGTAAGCTGGATAAATTTCTGTGGTATGCGATCATCATTCTGCGCAATTACCGATCACCAAAACCGGATACCATGAATTAAATACTTCTCTGGCAAGTCAAATATTGTCTTGTAAAACAGTCATCTGATGTACATGGGTGTGGAGGCTGTGCACAAAACAGCACCAATGTAGTTAACGCTACATAAACTGTACATAGCAACAGGAAAAATAAGACTGGGATGCACTAAACTGTTTTATTTTGAGGGGTTTTTAAAACTTTTTCAAGTGGCACTGGATAAAAGATCATTGTAAGGGGTTGTTGATGACATAACATATTCCATGACATTCCTTGCTTTCTTACATCTTTTGGCTGTCACAGTTGGATGAGCAAACTGCATTTCAATTAGAGGTATATTGTGCTTTCTTTTGCAGCAGATGATGAGAGGTCAACCTTTGTTCTTGTACATCCGCAACTGTCACAGATCAGTATTTGATAGTGGTGGTGTACAGGGATACCAGAAGACTGCAGTTGTATACCAACGGTGTATGCTGATTGCATTATTAAAGCCCAGCTTAAAGTGTATTTCCATTTTAGCAGCCAAACTGGTTTAGCATCTATGTTTTTACCTATGTTTGCCATAATTAGAGCTCTCTGTACTGTGCTGGCAGATTTCAAATGTTAACAAGCTGTATAGGGGACTCTGCCCTGACAAAAGGGTTAAGATCTCAAAACACTGTATGCTGAATTAGAACTATGTTTAATCATCACAATTATGACAAATCACGGCTTGAACCATCTTGCTTTGCATGTAATGAGTCTATCTCATATATTAGTTTCACCTTTTAAGTTACATTAGTAAAATAAATGAACTTTTGCACGATATTCTAATTATTTGAGTTTCACCCGTATAATAACCTCCTCCTGTGACCCAAAGATCAGTATATCGCGAGCTATTGCCTGCCATATAATGAGAGCACCACAGCCGGGATGGATTCCGACAATACTGTCAAGATCCACACAGCTGCATGAGTGACAGCTGGCTCTGCCTGTCTAGAGGCAGAGCCAGCTGTGCCCGCCCCCTCCCCTGTCCGTTCCTCCACTCAGCGCCGGAGGATCGGATAGGGGAGAATCCCTGCGGGGAGCGGTGAGTGACAGTGACCGCTCACTGCAGGGAGACGATTCGGAAGTGAGCAGATCGGCTGCATGTTTCTGCTCACTTCCCGATCAATAGAACCGACCTCCAACAGCTTCTTTGTCACATGTCAGCTCTAACTAGGAGGATGAGTGGAAATCACTCACCTCATAGTTCTCCTTTAATGTCTCTTAGTCTTGTCACTTACTTCTACATTTTCATAATTTCAAAGCAATAAAAGCTACGGAGAGTCCCATGTATAATCCTGCTCCAAAGAAACAATTAGTAAAGGTTGTAAGGAAATATATTTTAGCCGAGAGAGGCCATGTTGTTGAAAGGAGAAATTGAATGTGAGTTGCCACTTCCTGAAAGGTTTCGACTGGATTAATGGCAGGTGCACACACAGCCGCGCATTGTGTATCATAAAAATTTTTTTACTTGTACCTTTTTTTCTGAGATTCCCACACGGATGTCACCCCATTGAAATCAATGGGGCCGTGCGGCAATCGCTGCCTGCATTGTGCAGGGACGCACGATCCCGGATCGTGTAAGTCTGCACCGGGCCTAAAGCTTTAAGATTATATCCTCATCTGTTTTCTGTCCATTAGAAGAAATCTCATAGGCACCACAATCCTGATATCACCAGGAGTATACATTTGCATTGCTTAGATAAGCAACAAATGTAAGTGAGGATAATCCTTGTTGAGTATTTGTTTTTCTAAACATTACAAAATGTCATGTGTCAAATGACTAAATAGCTTCCTTTAAGATACACAGTAGTAACAATAGCATATTTTATTGTATACAGTGCACTGTTAACTAAGCATCAATGACTCATGAAGAGACGACATCTACGTACATGGAAACATCAGTGCTCCAGGCCATGCATTACAATGATGTCAGGTTACCTGTCATACACAAAGCCTTGCACACCTCCCAGCTGAGGCAATAAATGTATAAGCAGTAGCTATGTATGGAAAGGTCTTAACTGTAATCTATGTATGGAAAGGTCTTAACCATAATCTATCAATCAAAATGGGCCTGCTTTTAACAGAAATGCTCCAGAAAGCACTACTTTTTAATGGAGAATGACCATGCAATAAAACCCTGAAGTAATTTCAGATTTTATTTCTAGGATGTGTTCCGAGCTTCGCCCCCTGCTGTTATGATTAGAAGGAGGTCTCCCCGAATGCTGATTACATTATATACCAGTAGAATTTTGTTTGAAAAAGTTCCTTTTGTGAACGTTCGTTCAATTTTCTAATACTTAATGGGAGTAAACCAATGATCGATTTTGACCAAAGTGAAAAAATTTGAAGGAGCAGGATAGAATTTTTTTTCTCTAAATAAATGAAATTCCAACAGTAAATGTAGGTTTTGTTCGAGAGACTCCATTCATTTCTAAAATCAGATGTTAACGGTAATTCAACATTTCAAACAACATTCAACAAGTCTCTGATGACATTATCAAATTTTCGTATGAAAGTTCATTTAAAAATCTACCAGCATATGGCCAACCTGTAGAACCCAGTGTGGTCTTCTGCTGCATCCTCCTGGAGGGTGTTGTAAAAGGCTCTGCTGCAAAGAGCAGTTGTTTCAGTAGTTGTGGACAGTTGTCTGTCTTTTTTGCATATTTCTCCAAACTCTAGACCACTGGTAGCCAACATGCTGCACATGGACCCAAGCAGTAGGTAGTGGGAGTGTTGATTTTGTAATGGCAGTGATCTCTAGCAGTAACATGTTCCCAAACTCTGTGATTATCTCCTACAACATGTCTTTGACCACACCTGTAGCATGTCTGCAGTTTGAGTGTTCCCTCTTGTAAAACTGCTGTAACATTACATATACTAAATAATACGAGTGGCCCTTTGGTGATGTCAGGGGCCGCAGTTAAGCCCCCTATACCTCACATATTGAAAACTATTACTCTACACACTGTAGTGCATGAAAATCCAAGGAAGTCAACAATTTCTAACATGGTTTAGCCACCTCATCTGACACCAACAGTTATTCCACAAAGCCATTTAGATCACAATTCTTTCCCACTGTAAATGACTGCTTAAACAACTTGACCATGAGAAGTTTTAGCTTGCAGCTACAATATTTGTTGGATTTTTGCAATAATGCATAGGTGTACAAAAACCTTGGTCATTGAGTATATTAGGTAAATGCAATCCGAATTCCTGCATCTCTCCTTCGTTTTCAGGTTTGGTGTAATCTCAATAGCATAATTTTATGCAATATGATTCTACACGGGGCCAAGGCAGAAACTCCAGTGGGGACGTCATACCATTCAATTTTTAGAAGAATAAGAGTGGGGACAATATAGTGTCACGCAAAAACGCAAGAAGCATTATTCACAAACCTATGCACATGAATTGCAAAAACCACATACATCATATTGCTATTATCTGCACACTTGAGACAACTAAAGTACATTATAACACTTACAGGTACTACGCCCTGACCTCCTGTGCACTTTATATCCATAATAACCACTGATAACTCACACATTACAACCCGCAGTCTCACTGTCACTATTTCCACCTTGATTTGCTGTCAAGAGGGATGCATCTATCCTTATTGCAATACAGGCAGCTTATGTCGCAATAAAAACTCTCTATCTGAGGTTTAAAAAAAAAAAAACCCCTCTAATGTCATCAAGTATGGCTTCAACGTATGTGTGTTAAAAAATATGTATAGAGACAGAAACACATACAGAGCCAGAACACCATGAGTTGAGGTCACAGGTGAAACACTTACTGGAAGGAGATGCGCAAGCAGGGCTGGAAAGTTCAGCTGGCCCCCATCCTTTCATATTGCAGGCAGAAACACGAACATAGTACTCCTTACCCTGCCAGAAATTAAACATGTGTTAGGGTTATAAACAAACACAAAACTCAGTATTATTAAACTTTCTATTTTTCAGCTGAAGACAATAAGATTGATACTCTAATAACTTGGTAGCAATTAAAGGATAAGTATTGGGAGAGTAAAATGGACTCTTCCTAATACTTAGAGCTGGGGTGTGACAATGCAGGTGTCACATGTCGGCTCTATTGATCGAGAGCTGAGTAATCACAAACCGCTGATCGCTCAGCTCACGGTCTTCACTGCCAGTCACCACTCCCATAGGTACTCCCCTCTCTGTTCCTCCAGCACCCATTGGAGGGACAGACAGGGGAGGGGCAGGTACTTCGAGAGGCAGAGACACCTGTCAATAAGACAATGGGGTGGATCTCGACAATATTGCCAGGATCTTTCCTGGTGCTGTCAGGATATAACAGACAGTAGCCCGCTAGTTGCTGGATTTGGGACACAGGAGGATATTACTAAATGTACCAAAAAAGGTTTGGTTTAAGTTCTCTTTAAAAACTGAAAACACAATTTAATTCAGCTATGAATCCATTAAGAAAATCCCTGACCTGACCTTATCAACAGAATAATAAAATAGCAATTAGCCTGTGAAACTAGATATTTATTACCTTTCCAGTGAGCAATGAGTCAAATTTCCACTACCAGAATTTTTTTTTTTAAACACAACTGAAACAAGGTAATGAAGTGTATGCAAGGTCTCTTCTGACAAATCTACTTCCTCTGTTCTCTAGCAAATCCTTATTGTCTGTACATGTTGCACTGTACAATGTACGTTCCAGACATCTGTGAGATCCCGAGAACGGAACCCGGTGCTTGGGACAAGGTAAGTAAATCTGCTTTACTCCAGGCCCTAGACAAGCATTTAAACCCTTGCAGTGGGGCTACCCATTTTTTGATTACCAAGAGATGAGCTTTAAGAATTATCTTGCTAAAAAGAAACAAAAAATAGTTCAATTACATTTTGAAGTAATAATAATAATCAAAGAAACCTTATCCTGACCTATCCTGAAAAATAACTGCAACTGTTAAGATTTAGCCTGCACTATATCAGGGACAATTAAAGAAAAGTCTCAAAAGCCTAGCATCTTCTGTAATCATTGGTCTAATACCCAGTAACATGTTCACTGATGAGGTGCTCTCTGCCAACACAGAGGATCTTGGAAGACTGTCCCCAGGAGGAGATTATGCAGTCAGAGCTGCTGAGAAGCTGACTCTACCTTATGGTGCATTCTCTGACATTTATTAAAATATGGAACCAACTTAAAAAAATTATCAAAAACAAATTTCAGATGAAGACTACCTTTAGTTAGATATTAAAAAGCATCAATGAATGAAGTTAACTGCAATTATGTATTGTTTTATTGTGTTTAAAATGCTAATATGTTTAACTCTTAATAACAGCCTCATGCAAACCCCACAGCACTCAGACTGGGAGAGGGAGGGCCAGCACTTGTAAATCTCTGCGACAATTCTCTTAACTGCATTGACAGAACACATGCTGATGGGAGGAGACAGTACAGTATTAACTGAATAATGTGTACTGCCATCCCTCCACTGTCCATTTAGTTTGAATAATAATCATTACCAGGCTATGCTGTCACTGCCAAGGAGGTAGAGGAACTGGTGAGATCAAGACTGCCTAAATACAATTCTTTTGTTAGTTAAAACAGTTCCTATACATACACATGTTAACTGCAGCTTGCCCGACTTCCAGCTTTAACTTTATTAATTTAAAATATCTACTTAATAAAACAACATTCACCCAGTGAGGAGAATATGGAACATTGTATGTGTGTGTGTATATATATATATACATATATATGTATCTTTATTTATATACAGGACCGAAAATGTAACTGTGTCCAAAATGCAGTTGGTTGCTAGGCTGAGAATAACACATCCTGATGCTCCATCTTCCAGATATCATTGGCACTTTCCCCTCTTTCCTGCCAGTCGTTCAAGTTGTCTCAAGATCAAAAAAAAAAATATTGCAGGGCCTTGGGTGCTGGCTTCTCGTATCAGGAGGTAAACAGTACTATTGCTGCAGGGCAAGCCCAGCTCCTTTTTTATATTAGCTTGGCACTGTCCCTCCCCATAAAGACCACCAGGAGCCCCATTGCCTAGCATTTTATAAACAATATCAGAGGAATTCTAAGTTTAAGCATTTACCATTGTAAGGCTTGTGATGGTACATTTTAAGGACTGTAGATGATCCACAATGATTTCACCAGCCAAGGGAGTGAAGTCTGATGAGGTGCTCCATTCAACTGAAACACAGAATTTGAAGATAATAAGTCAAGCAAGCCATTAAGTACACAAATCACACTAAAATTGTTACTTCATTGTCTTTCTGGTACACGTTATTATGTTGTAATTATTCTTCAACCCTAAGTGAAAAAAAGATTCTCTGTATCATAATCTGTTGTCTTCATTAATCTTAAAGGATTGCCAACTATATCCCTTATTTCCTTACTCCATGGCTCTACTGCCCATGAAAGACCTTGGCCTCCCGTTTATGAGCAATTGCTCACTTTTTCTCCATTTCCAGGATGCTCATTTTACTTACCTAAAGCCACGGTCACGTGATTCTCCTTTACTGAGTATTCTCTCTTCCTTTGTTTGCCGGAGTCCTTCTTTGTGTGTCCATGCTGCTGCCTGCATGACATGGACACTTCCTAATTGATGTCTAGCAGCGTGGTTACCTTAGGATCCAGAAGCAGAGTGACATCATCCCCTGCAGCCTCCTAGTATGCTGACGTCACATATTCCAGTGGTTTAATGGTTAGCACTTCTGCTTTGCACCACTGAGGGTCAAATCCTGGTTAGGACACTATCTGCAATGAGCTTGCATGTTCTGTCTGTGCTTTCGTGGGTTTCCTCCAGATACTCCGGTTTCTTCCCACAATCCAAAGATACACTGGTAGGTAAATTGGCTCCCATCTCAATCAGCCCTGCATTTATGCATGTGAGATAGGGACCTTAGATTGTAAGCACCTTGAGGGCATGGACTGATATGAATGTGCACTATAAATACCAATAAGTAATAAGTATCCCAGGAGGCTGCAGACTTCCTAGCAGCACAGGAAGGTACATCAGGCACCACATCAACAGGTACACCAGTGAGACCTAGACATACTTGACCCAACAAACTTATTTCAACCCCAAATGATAACAGATGCTTTCTGTACCCTTACACATCTTAATTATTTTCACATTATTTTGCATCTAAAACGTACTCTTATCTTGGTGTTGGCTTAATTATTGGTGAACAGATTTTCCAGCATGCACTACTTCCCTGAAAGGTTGCAAAAGCACAGCAAGCAAGCTTAAGTTTACATCAGTGGGCATTTTTTCCATGCACATAGTCACTTTGTGTACCCTTGCTCACATCAACTAGTATAATTTGAGAAAACACGAATTTGGATTTCAAAGAGAAGCCGTCATAAATTCGCTCACAAAAGCATTTACATATTTGTTGTCAATCATAATAATTGTGCAGGCTTCATCTTTGTGCATGCAAAAAGAAGATACATCGTACATAGAATCTCAGAAATTTGCACCCATTAGTTGACAGTTAAATGTGGTTTTGTAGCCCCAACAGATTTCTCCAATAGATTACATAACCTTTCTCAATGTGTACCATGTTGCATTATCGGCTATACATTTTGACTGCTACCTTGTACCACTTCTTTGGGGGCTAGAAGAGCAGTTGTCCATTGTGGATAGCACTAACTAATTCAATGTATCTGTTGTTCCTTGTTCTACCTGTTTGGTTGATACCTTTGCATCAACTAGCAACAGTGACACAGAGCTATGACATTTGTTTTGGTCCGATCTAAGTTTATTAAAATTTTTAAGAATATATAAAAACAATATAAATGAAACAACAAGGAAACAGGGGAGAAAAATAACACAAAACAATCAGAATTGCTTGAATAAGAACAGCCAATATCTACATGGTGAACGATGGTACATGGGATTAGGCACACAAAGTCAGATAAATCTGCATAAAAAGAGGTATAGAGGGATACTAAGAGGATAGGGGTAACCTGATTACGATAAAGTAAACAGCAAACTTACAGACAGCATCCCTGATAAGGGGAGGGGAAATAACGACACAACGGGTTACCGTTAGGAGCATACATAGGAAAAAAGCCCAAGTAAAAAAACACAGACTCCGACCTCACCAATGTGGGAGAGAATGATAAACATGTTGCCATGTTGAGAACACCATGGAGCAGTATAAGTGTCATCAGGATTACTAGCAGTAAGTACTGTATGTCCGTGAACCCATATGATATAGGATTGGCATGGGAAGTCAAAGCTATGCCAGTTTCTTTGCAGAGAGAATTGAACTATGTCCCCCTCTCTGAAAAGCACCCAAGTGCATAGATCTCTGTGATGGCGCATTTATTCATAGAGTATATTGCTGTTATACTTGTCCTATAATTTATCTTATTCTGATCCCTAATAGCCCATACTATAGGAACTAAACAGCATTGGTTTGGATAACCAGCTAAATCCTGGCTGAAACACTTGCAGTAGGTGGTTTGGGGGTTTAATGTGCTATAAATAACAATGTCTTACTTTAATGCATTATGAGTTTCTGCAATGAGATCATGAGATTTGTATATTATTCAAAACAGAATAAATATTTTTGTAATGCTTATTCTCCCTAAGGGTTCAATATACCATTTCTCTTCTTTTTATATACAGTGGGGAGAATTTATCATAGCAATTGCGAGTGTTTGAACTGGTACAGAATATATTTGACGCACTTTGCTCCAGACTTATGATGCTAGTGTAATATTGTTCATAAATGAAGTTTAATAGACTCCAGGAAAGAAGATTCGTAACTTCAGGCAAAAAGCTTAACTGTCGCTTCTTGAAGAAGTGAGCTGATGCTCCAGTATTAGACAGCCCCAGAACAAGTGCACATGAAAACAGGGGCAAACACGTGCAGTTGGAAAAGCAGTGCAAGCTCTGGTCAAAACAGGGGCACATGTTATAAAGACAGATTTGCACATTTAAAAAAAGATACATTCCCACAATATATTTTTGGGTTAAAAGTAGGGATGCACCTATGCCGATACTAGTATCGTTCCGATGCCGAGTATTTTGGCGAGTATTCATAGTCACCCAAATGCTCCGATGCCTAGCCCGATACTTCTGTTATCAAGAAGCCGGGCAGCGAGTCATTACATGCTGCCTGACTTCCTGATTGGCCGGGAAGCTGGCTCCATGCTCCCTCATCACTTGACGAGGAAGCGCCGCATCATTACACGGTGCTAATTGGGAAGTCGGGGGGCAAGTCTTTACACGCCGCTTGCCTTCCTTAATGGGACTTCCGGCATCGGTATTCGGTATTGACAAGTACCGGAAAAAAATAACCAGTACGCGTACTCGATACCGAAATACCGGTATCGGTGCATCCCTAGTTAAAAGGAACCAACACCAATTTGGAGACAAGAATAAAACTACTCATTTGTTTTTCAGGTTTTTTTTTTAGTTACTTTTTGCGCAGTCAGAGCTGAAAGGTTCGCTGAGGTCTATCATTTGCTGCCCCATCAACTGCCTGACCTTATGTTGACAATACATCATCAATCAGCTCCACGGTGTGCATAACAATATAAAAAACAGAACTGTTAAGAGGAACTACTATGTGATGTTTCTCATTGGTTGAAGTCGTTGGACTTAACAGGTTTATTCACAAAAGGGTGAAGAGTTTGGAGAAGGCAGGAGGAGGGAACAATCTAGGACAACATAGCTGAACTGGAAAGTGAGCTGAAATAGAGAATTTTTCCAAATCAGCTGTTTTGGCCTAGACTGTTCACTTCTCCTGCCTTCTCCAAACTCGTCTCCCTTTTGTGAATAGCCCTGTAAGTCTTTTTTTAACCTATGTAACTTGTTTGACACTGTTATGTGCACTCTGGAGAGACAAAACCGTGTTCTGTTATCAACATGAGGTAACACAGTTGAGAAGTCACTAATAGTCAGAACTCATAGGGCCTCTTGGATCTCTTAGCTCCAGAGTATTTCTCAGACCAAGTAAGTAAAGCTTAATAAGGTCCTGAATACAAATCTTTCATAAGCCCAGTCGAGACTGGTACTAATTATGTTTGCTGGAGAGAGAGAAAAAAAGAGTAAATTCTTAGAAACCATTTTTTATGCCAATGTAAAAACAACGGCCCGAACTGTGGACAATGTAAATAAATGAGGCGGTCTGTGTGGTACACAGATAATTATTCCTACCGCTACAGGACATTGGCTTAGACAGGGAGCTTTACCCAGGAGGCCATCTTTGTCACTGCCGCCAGACGTTAATATATGTATAGCTAACACATTCTACATGATGTGTAAAGATATTTTCCATGTTTGCTAGCGTGCTCTCTGTATGTTTTAATGAAGGTACTCTGTGTTTCAAAAGTCAGCAAACAGTCGTCGCATTGCTGCGGTTGGCAGCGTAAGTACTGATATTTCAATAAACACTAGTGTAAATAAGTATATAAAACAGTGTAAGTTGCTGACACATAGGCAGACTTAAATTATGTGCCCTCATAACTGCCAAGGATTTTTTTTTATTTATTCGCTCTAAATGTTATAACAGATGACGGCTTTCAGGTGCTCGTCTGATTAAAGTATCATAGGAGAAAAAGATTTTACATTTGGTGAAAATCTGTACAACACTGAAAGCAATCTACAACCTTTAAGGCCTTTTCTTTTTTATTTCTGTGAATGTATTCTGTTTAAAGAACCAAAAGAAAGGCATTAACAAATATTTTGTCAGATAAGCAGCTCACATACAGTATATACTAGGGATGCATGGATACTTTTCGAGTACCAGTACGGATACTTGGCATTTTCATGAGAACTACCAGGGTTGCAGCGGTTGCACCTGGGACCTAGCTCTGGCGCTCCACCACTGTCCTGAAATCATTAGTCAATATTGTTTTAGAAAAACACATGACAATAAACAAAAATTTATCAGTACTCGGGCAAATATCAGTACTTGTACTTGCAAAACCGGTATCGGTGCATCCCTTTATTTATATTTATAAAAACAAAATCATACATAAAAACAGAGATGTACAAATACCAGGAGCTCCGTGTGCTCCTTACAAATGACAGCTGCCCCCTAACTTTTGAATTTTTCTCTAGTCTAGTCTTGGAGCTCGAAAAAGTATCGGTACATGTACTTGTACCAAGTACTGTACTTGGTATAGGTGCATCCCTAGTATATACACTTTAGCTGTGTATGGAAAGCGAC